ATTGGATTAGATTCAATGCAACGGTGTCAATATAAATGTTAACAAACCTTGTCTCTATATGTTAAAGGAAATGAAACGGAAATGAAACGAAACTAAAATAAGAGCTGAAAATAGGACCAGAAACATAATTGATCGGGTTATTTTGCCATCTATTCCCCAGAAGAGGACCAATAAGATACACTTCATTTCGCTACTCATACAGGCTTATGAATTATTCATGTTGCTTGTGATTCTTCCGTCCTCTTGGGGCCTAACATTGATTTGTGATACATAATGTTGCAGGTGAGGCCCTTGCGAAGAGGAAATCGCAAAGCAACATGCCATTTTCTTCCCCAAACTACATGTATCCTCATTTCACCCTCTCTCTCTCTCTCTGTCAGACTTTCTCTCCCATTCCCCCTCGCTCCCCGTTTCTACTATCAATCCCACTTTTTGCAACGCTTTTCTACCATCATGTACTCCTACTAGTAGAATGCTATTTCTCTCTTTCTGAACTCATAAATCGACACATAAAAATAGCTAAGGACATGTTACGTGCAAAGTCGCATTACTATGCGAAGTGTGCATTTTGGGTCTCAAAAATTCATAGAAATTGAGAGGACCGGTTGCCAAGTCTGCTGCCAGCTCATTGAGGTGTAGGCACACAGGGCGCGGGTCACACGTGCCTCCCTCGCGCTCCATACACACGCCAGCCTTCAAACACAATCAAGAAGCATTCCAACATAAGGCAGATATCATCCATGAATAATCTACCCCCCTTCTTTACCCTCTCTCTCTCTCTCTCTCTCTCTTTGTTTCCCCCTTTCTCCGTCTGTCTCCCCTCTCCCATCCTGTACCCCTGTTTCATCTCTCTCGCCCCACTCCTCCGTTGAACCACATCTTTCTGCCTTTCTAGGTATATTTTCTATCTCCCTCTTTCTATTTTGATATTTTATCTCTTCCTCCCTTCTCACTATTTGTCGGGCTCTGTTTTCCAACTTTCATTCCCCCTTCACACTGTCCTTCTTCACATCACCCTCCTCTCATGAATTTCCTCTTCTCTACTATACCTGTCTGTCTGTGTGCCCCATCTCCCCTATACCTCTCTTTCTCCCCACCCCTCCCTCCCTCTTCTCTCTCCATCGGAATCAATCTTCCAATATCTCTCCCTCCGACACACTTCACCCTCTTTCAGCTTATCTCTTTATCCTGTTATCAAGACAGTCACGTTCACTCACGTTCACTTATCTCCTCATTATCTATTTTGTCATCTCTAAGCATAAAGATGTCCGTATTCACATCAGGTACTGAGTGAAATAATGATGAGATATCATGCAGGATCGCAATGCCTTCAAGGTGAAAGTTTGAATAATCACGAACATCTTGTCTTTTCAACCTTCTTTAATTCAGCGAAAAGATGAATCTAATTTTTCATTACAGGTACAGGTAGGCCTAGTTTATTTGAATTTATGTTTTTTTTCGTCGAAATGTTGCTTTGCATTATTGTGTCGTTTCATCAGTCCATAATAAGATACCAAATCCCAACACAAAAAGTATGACAATGTGACTCAGATATTAAATTAATGCGAATCGAGAGTTATATTGTGTTTAGGTGTATGTGTAAAATTCCTTTCCAACAATGGGCTTACAAAAACTTAGAGCATTGCTAATGATCATTGCATAAGACATCGGTGTGTCTTTGGTGCTTCTAATGACCCTAACGCCATTTACCATTGCAAGAAGTGCTGTTCCGCGAATAGCTCAATGAATCACATTTCTTTCTTCTTGCCCTCTAGCCAGTCAGTACCCTGGCTCCTAGCTAATCCATCATTATATTAGCATAGTGATCTGTCATTTCTAATACAGGGATTCAACTTTCTCTTCACGTTTACACCTGATCAAACGTCATCTTGGCCAAGAAATAAACCAAGCGGAGGAGAATGTCTGCTCTCTGCGCGGACCACTGGTTGGGAGTAGAGGGAGCAGGTGTGTGGTGGGATGGATAGGTTCGGGGATGAATGGACGACCATCAACACAGTGTCATGCAGGCAAGCGACAATAGCCTGTTAGCTTGCCTGACGGAGCTCCCGAGCTACTTGTATGCAGCACCCCCGATGAGCTCAGGCGATGGACCCTTAGATATAGGATGGTGTATCTTGTCACAAAGACAATTTAGTCCCGGGAATTACCTCCCATTGTCTTCTCCTCCCTACCTCGCAACAATGATGCATCCATTAGCTCGCACTGATCTGATGATAACGGTAATTAGTTTGGGGTTCATCTGCCTTTCAGAAATGAGGGATGATTACATTGTACATTTGCCAGAGCTGCGATGATTTGGATGATTTATTCATGCATTGCTGCTCTTGATGATGATGATAACGAATGTGATGGTGATGATGGTGGTGGTTGTTTAGGTGGTGGTAGGAGTAAAGATGTTGTTGGTGGTGGCGGTGACAAATTGATGGCATGGTGGTGGTGGTATTTGTTGTGGTGGTGGAGATGATGTTTGGGGCGATAGTGGTGGTGGTGGTGGTGGTAGTAGTAGGGACTTTTATATTTGCGTGGACTGATACGTGTGACATCCATACAAGGCAGTGCATTAAAAGGACGTCGATCGTAGCAATCCACGTTGTCGTTGGGCAAATCTAAAAATTCCTAGTATTGGTCGTGGTGTTGATGTGGGTAGTGGTGATAGTGGTGTTGGTTGATGGTTTGACTGGTGTTGGTGATGACGGTAATGGTAATCATGATAATGGTGATGGTAATTTCGTTTATAGTTCACCTATACGACACAAGAATATATCATCATCAATCAATTATTACAACTACGTAGATATCAAGAAGGGTTACTAGATGAGACCACTTAGCAAGCAAAAATAAACCACAATACCAAATACTATCAGGCAGACGGACACTGGTCAGACTTCCCTTCCATGAACAAAAACACACCCGATCCTCTGCAAGCTGGCGAAGGAATTAATCCGGTAGATCAAGGGTTAAAGGACGTGACGTCAAGAGCTACTTGGTTTTATTTCTTCCCCTAATCAGTAGACAAACATCCTCTGAAGCATTATTGATATTCTTGAGGTGATCCGAAACAATGATATCAAATACAATACGTTTACCCATACAGCAGGAGATAAAGAAACCTCCCTCACTTTATGTAACGATTACGACAGGTTTATCGAGTTTTATCAGGTTGATGTCCAAAAGCCGAGCATATTATCGAGTAGTGATTAGTAAGCTTGGATGATCAGCTGGTAGGCTGTCTAGTGGCAGAGGCTGGGCTAATGCTATTAACTGTGTGTAATTTTACATTAATTAGATTGCTTTATTCCATGGCTTTGTACGGGTAAAGGGTAGAACTACTGGGAGGAGGAGAGCAACATGGAGGGCATAAGAGGATTGGAGGGTCGGATGATGAGGAAGAGGAGGGATTGGAACAATATTAAGATCAGCACTGGGCCTATACTGACACTGATGAGAATAATCATTAAAATTTAAACAGCAACTGAAAAATGGGTCTAACACTGGACTGTGCAAGGAATTTAATACACCGGCTAGCCACTCCTAGTTTGCTCTACGCTTGGTCATCCCATTTACCCATTCTGTGTTCCGTGGGATATCCTGGGTCATGTTGCACAATATTAACATGACAAAATTATCATGATTTCTATTCCAAACATCCTTATCCCATTCATCCCTCTCATCATTGATCGCCTGTACCTCAAGGCACTGCATCAGTCATAATTTACATGTACATCATTAGTGTCAGTTTTGTATGTAGACATCGTTAGTGGTATGTACAATAGAGGTCTAATGAATGACTTGGTGCTTGAGCCTTGAGGCGATTATCAAATTCGTGAATGCGGTGTTTTTTCAGAAATGTTGCTCCTTACAATGTGATCATGTTGATCAAGGACATTCACTTGATATTACTAAGACCCCCTTCTCTCTCAACACACGCACACAGAAGCTCACTTCAAGACACCATGGTAACGGGAAACAAAGAATTGAATTGGATGTCCATATTACTCAATCTGGGCAGGCTTTCCCCCTCGGACTACACAAGCTAGGAGAGCAACCGTGAAGCACGACTTGGTAATATGCATGACATATCTCATCTCATCTCCGCTCATATCTATTATTCTTCTCTCAAATCCATTCCTCCTTATCTCTACCGATCACGCGGAAATTTCATGCATGTTGCGGGTATGAAAAACACCACAATCTGACCCGCACTATACAACACTCTAGGCTCTAGCCGAATGGGGGTACAAGTACATGTTCAGCAAATACTGAAGGAGGGTATACCAGGGTTACCCACGAGCCAAACGCGAGCTTTTTAACAGGTTGCGCTCCTTATATGGTCATAGAGCAGTCCCACGGTGCGTGCCTAGCAGACAAAACTCTGCTCCATTATGAATTCTCGTTGCATCGTGAAAAATGACTTGAATTTGTATGCCATAGCTTATCGCTACCCCCCAGCCGCAAGATTTGTTCAAAGATTGAATTGCAAACAAATGAAATGCGCATAAGAATGATCGAATAACAAATAACTTCGTTGAACCATAGCATCTCAGAGATTTAGGAATTGCTGTAACATGACTTGTCAAAATCATTAATGTTTAAGGAAAGAGTGAACACCATCAAATCAGTGATTTATTGCAAATCTTATGCCGTGATTTCCTTCAATTATATCTGCGAAGTGTATATTACATATTATAATGATACGCTAAAATAGTTAATGGAATTAGTGGCAAAATAATGAAAAACATACCGGCAGAATTACGGTTTTCAAAGCGGAAATGCGCTGAACTATCACAAGCCTTATCAAACCACTCCTACACATTTTCAGCACAATTTCAATTTGCACAATTTCAGGCTTTTGTAATTCTTCTCCTGACTTTCACTCACAACCACTTCATACACATACAGAGCGCTTCAGGTACACTAGAAACATGCAGTAAATGCGTTGTGTTGTTAAATTAACGTAATTATTGATCTGGAAATCTTACCTGTAAGCCAAGAAGTTGAGCTAGCTCCTTGAGGCTCCTATCTACCCTCTCCATCTTACCAGACTGACTGGTATCAGCTCCAATGGGCGTGGCTCCGTGGTGGTGATGCTGATGCGCTCTCAGAGTCTGTCAAGATGGAGAATATGAGTTATCATTAGGTATCAATGAAATTTGATATAATGTTATGAAATGGAAGATGAGGATGATTGAGAGTGGTAAATACCAACTCCACTGGGTGTGGTCGTGTCGTGGTGATGCGATCTCAGGAATGTATTTATCATCAGTTATGATTACTAGGAATCAATGAGATTGGTATGAGGTTATGGAATGGAAGATGACAGGTTGTGGTATCAGCTCCGATGGGCGTGGCTGGTTGGTTGTTATCAGCTCTCCAGAATCTGCAGAAATAGGCAGTACTTACGCCTTATGATTTATGGATGTGGTCAGATGTTCGTAAATCAATCGTTGAATGTTTCTTTCAAGATAAATCCGAGGCAGGGTGTAGGAAAATGTCCCTGGTTACTTCAAGATTATGATATGTCATAATATAGTTGTATCGATGGCTTTCAGTGAAAATGAAATAAAACAGTTGGTAAGGTTATCATTAAAACTCATTTCTTTCAAAATGTTAAGAAAACAAGAATAACATCTGTATGATCTGGACCCAATTGAAAATGCAGTTGTAATTTAGAGCATTTTTCTACGCTGACATGGCTGGTGTATGTATGTAAATAAGAAAACAATCATTGGAAAATAATTTTCACAATACCTCGCTACATGCAGGACACGTGTTGAATGTTTCGTTCACAGACTTGTCTAGCTAGCGTGCCTCGAGCAACAAACCTCACTTTTTGGTACGACTGGTTATCACTCCACAGGCGGACACGCGCCTGCGGTTAACGCCACATAATATAGTTTTGAGGAGGAAGAAACTTATAAAAGTAATTATAATAAAAAGGTGTATCACTTTCAATCTGTCTTCATCATTTAATGGGGTTCTTAACTGTAATAAAAAAAATATGGAAAACTGTGAATAATGCTCAATCTGAAATCATTTAATCAACTATATGCCGCTCCCCTTTTTCTCTCTCTCGATCTTTCTGTCTACGTGTTCAAACTGATATAAATAGGTTGTTTTTTCCTACTTGCTAATCGTAAGAGCCTGTGTGCAGTTCAAGATTGCGTCAATGATCTGAAGCTCCATTACCATGAAGATGCTTGAAAAATACTTCGCAGGCAGGCAGGTTCACAACCAAGACTAAAGATTTGTCTGACCTTCTATATGTATTTTTAGATGACCATGAGGTCAAGAGGTCATTGTCTGGTGACCCGAGATGACCAAGGGACCACTCGCTAGTCTGCTATCTCATGATAGTCTCCATGAATCTCAGAAATGCATCCGATCGGCAAGTTTGGCAAAGTAATTTGGTAAAGGTTGGAGAAGATCAACATTAACAAGACTGCTGAACTGTGATGAACCATGGACATTGGGCCTACATCAATATAGGATTGGATATACATGTAATAATGATAATATTCGGTTCCTGTATAGCTCATATTAAGCGCTTCCAAAGAGCTTCGGAAATTATTACCCTAGCTTTAGCTCCGGCAGCCGTCATCAACGCACAATGCATTTCAAAGAATAATACTACCAAGTACCCATTTACCTCACCTGGGACTGGGTCGAGTGTGGCAAATGTAGATTAATATCTTGCCAAAGGACATAAGTGCCTCGGCGAGACTCAGAACCGCGGACCTCGTGATCCACAGTCCGATGTAGCTCAACTTCAACTGTCTTTCAAGTTTCAATAAAATCTTCACTTAGTAAACTTTGAACATATTTTGTATCGGATGACAGATTTTTATCCCATACAATATGACTATTATACCACGCGCAGGGTAACGTAGAAATGAAAATGGAGAAGTCTTTGCACCTTACAATCATTACAGTTACAATCAATGCTGAATGCTCATGAATGAAACCAAGAAGGATTGGGTTCGTATAGTCTGCAAGGTTCAAAGATTACAGATCTCAAGTCGAACCAAATTTTAAAAATGAAGTTCTGGATAGCATAATCCTACAGAGTACAGAGTGCAGGTGCAATGAAATCAAGGAGTTGCTTGATGAGACCTACCTTTTCTTTTCTCAGCAGATGCCTGGTATTTCCTATGTAGTATTTACTAAGAAATACAGAAACCGACTACAGAGTATCTTCGACATGGAATCCTTGCTCCATCCAAACCAAACCACATCCTTGCTGTCTCAAGCTCTCACTAAAACTGAAACTCGTCCTCACAAACATACTTGGATCACGTGACAAACAACCACGTGTTCTTGGACGTTGAATTTCCCAAACAAAATAACAAACATTCCATGTCCACAAACTTGCCAGGACTTGTCGACCCAGGCCACCACCCCTCCCAAACTTTAAACCCCCTTTTCTGACCCTCTCGCGACCCCCGCTAACGATTTCTTCTCACTCTTAAGCTCCCTTCACATACAGCTCGAAAATTCTCACAATGCACACCTGTGCTGTTGACATTGTAAGCTTGTATGTTAGTTCAAAGAGTGTGAACGCTCCGAGTTCCTTGCAGTATCGGAATGGATGTGTTGTGGAAGAGAGGTGCGCGTGTGTGAGCGCACCCCAAGACGGCGCATGTATTTACTGTGTAATGAAGTTCACACCTGTTACGTGAATGGAACCCTTGTATGCTCCCAGGGGACCTCCATGAACTTGCTTTATCATCCACGCCAAAACATTCTCACTCTCTCTTACCGTCAACCTCCCAGTTCCCAACCCATCATCCTGTATTCTCCATGGATAACGATCATCTCCATCCGCCTCTTCCCATCTGCATTCTCTTTCCTTTATTTCCTGCCTAATTTTCAGACATGTACAAAAGTTATACTGCCATTTTCATGTTCAAGTCGAATGATTTTTGTCCCACACCTACCTGACTAATTATAATGATGTTACATTACCCCAATACAGGAGAGTGATTTGAATGAAGTAAAATATTCCATGTGCAACTTGTAATATGGTTGCACAACTAAATGTCAGCGGCATTCATATCAGCAAATGGAAATGAATCCTTAAACATACAATGTAAAATGTACTTTAAAAGCTCAACAGGGATAATGTTACACAAATAAAGATCAAATCAAGCACTGTTCATCAACTCCATGAACTAAACTAATAATAATGACATACATAATAACGTTCAATATAACTACGATGCAAAGTTACACGCACCTCCTGCTTCACAAATCAAGCTTGTTTGGTTGGAACTTGTAATTGTGCTATTTTTAATCATTTCACCAATTTCATAACTGGTTAAGGGGTGAGGGTAATGATATAATTAATTAATAAAGCGTTTGACGTCGGTATTACGTGCATGCACGATGGAGGTATTGAACTGTTTCTTGACAGAATTCTAGTACAAGAGCTGTATGACGGCATGTACTTGTTGCGCCCGCACCTGTAATAATTTGCACAGTATCACCCGTAAGCTTGAGTTACACTGGGAACAGAAGCTCTAGATTTCACTAATAACACGACCATTACTCAGCTGCAAATGTTCAAGGTGTATTATATATGAAGCCTTACAAAATGAACTAATTTGCTCAAGACCTTAGGAGTAAAATCTCCAGTTACCACGAGAGGAGAGGCGGCCATTTCGTTCACAGTCAAATTTCAAAACTTGCATGTACATGTGCTAAAAATATAGATAATGAGCGACTGAAATCTTTCTCTTTCTATATAATCGGCGTCCTTTTCAAAATATATTTCAAAAGCTAGATATCGGCCCAGAGAATATCTCATTGTGCTTCAGACTGTTTCATTTTGAGTACTTATTAGAATATGGTTTATTCTTGATAACAAATCTCAGAATTGTACTGATCAATCTCAAGAGTTACAGAGATTGATCAATAGAGTTCTAAAAAGATTTGTAAAGAAACCATATTGCCACAATCAATATCACGAAAAGAGGTAAGGAAAAATGATTCCAACTTCAAGGGCATGTGATGGACAACAGTGTATTTATTTGTATAGCGAAATATCTTGTAATTCAAAGCAGGTTAGTCTCATTCTGATTCTACTTTACAAGCATAAATATACATAATGATATACGATACTATATTCACATTTATTTCCTACATAATTATGAGATCTTGTGAGGGGATGGTTATAAAATATACCGATAATGCTCCCTTCCAGGAAAGCGTCTCATTAATGTTTTCGTACCTTTGCTTTCCTGGTGCTCCGTCCTGAGGTTCGTCTTGGTTCAGACTTGGTCTGCATCTCCTTAGTTACGTTACCATGGTTACTGGTAGAGGTGAAAGGATTCCTGCAAAAGATGACGACCGTAAAAAATATTTGTAATACTTTGATCAAACATCCTCTATAATAAATAAATGTTTGTGATTTAATTGCATCTACAAAACCATGGAATATACGGACATGCTGATAGGAGGGTGATCATCGATGTATGCACGATGCAAGAGGGGGGGGGGGGATTGATGAAAGAAGAAAAGAGAGAAATAAATATGAGAAATCAGAATAAATAAGACGACTTCGATGAAGAAGAAGAAGAAGTATAACAAGAATTGGTACCACAAATATTGTACTAAAGGTTAGAATTATGATAGGGATAAGAGAAGAAACAATTAATGCCTTCTTATTTATCGCTAATCATCCGTCTACCATGACGATTACGATAATTACCGTACAGTAAATTAAATGTTAAGTAGGCGTTTTTGACCCTTTTCCTCCCATCTTCTCACTTTATCTCTTTAATCTTTTCCCTCGGAAACCCATTTTGTATTTTTGCTATATAAGATCTCCAAGTACAACGAAACTGTCCTAGCTCAGAACCATGTAATGTTTTCACATGACACCATAATAACGTGGGTACCAGACAACCATGACTATACAAGAAGCAGTAGCATCATTAACACTCCCCCACAGTAATTCATGGTAAGTATATTGACATAATTATTAGCAACCCCCTTTCCGGTAAATTAATTTCTTTCCCGTCATACACGATGCGTTTCTTGTTAGCACCGCGGTATCAGAGCTAGTTTGAATTATCATGCAGGGTGAAAATCTAATTAATCACTAATCAAATTTGACAGTGAAAGGGTAAGATGTCTATAAGGTAAGTGCTAGAGGAGGCACCGTGCCCCTTGCCATGGGATATGTGTGTGTGTGTTGGGGGGGGGGGGGGGACGTGCCTCCAACCCAATCGAATAGTCCGCTAAACATGAAACAGTGATAAGAGAGAGGGAGAAACGTTATTCATGCCGACATGACCCCCTCCATCCAACACGCTCCACCGACTGATAAATAATAAATAGATGAGTCAGAGTCTCAGAGAACTAATGCATAAGCTTTAAACCAACAAGGCCAGCCTGGTGAATTTGTGGGCCCAATATACATATTTATTTCATCCAGTAAATAGTTTGAATACAAAAAATGCTGTGCCGTAAACCATGCACCAAACCCACTTCAGACCGACTCCATAGATGTAATGTAATATTTTCGTCTGGTCTGTTGTCGGTCCGGTGTCGGTCTGTTGTCGGTATGACTTGGGTATAAAATCCGGCTGAATTATTTCACATGCGTTCAAGCCACGGTCACCTGCACAAGACAGTACATATATTGTTGACATCTTAATGCTATACACGGTTCGTGGCCGTGTATGGAACTTGATTACAACACCACTTGCGGTATGTAATTATAGGTGGAAGAACCCAATTAATATGCTGAAATAACCGGACGTCGTGCCATGAATAAAACTACCAGACAGCTAATAAGAGGTTAACACGATAACCTACACAGCTTCCTATCCTTTAACCCTGCACCCCTCCTTTCATCTGATAATCTTGCTTCTGCTTGTAATGTTTCCTCGTTTTTTCCCCCATAGAATATTCTTCCTCCGATGCGAATCCTGATTATGGCACTTTGTTGTCATTGGTCTGCTTATAGATTCTTCGTTTCCGTTATTTGACATTATTGCATATTATGCGGTGTATTGATATTAACTCTTCTTTCAGAAATGCCAGTTCTGAATGCATTCCTCTTTGACAGTTCATCTTCTTGTAAGACAAGTTTGCATAGGAGAACTGAATCAACTCAATCAAGTAACATTCGACGTCACATGTGATTAATAAAGAAGATATTTTCGAAAATATTAATGTATCATATTTTATTAAATTATAAATCATTATGTCGATCGCTTGCGGCACAGATTGAATTACGCCAAATTGTTCACCCGTAGTGTCCATTTCGATTTTTACGTCTGTACGTTCACCGTTCACTGTAGTCATGGCAACCATCGTAAGAAGTAACCTAACCCAGAAAATACTTCTACAAATGGGAAATACACGCACGTACCAGTCATCTTATCGCAGTAAACACTAGAGCAACTGTATTTATTTTATAACGTTGCGTATCACTTGTACTTGATGAATGCATGCATTTGTCATTAGCACCTCCCTAATCCTTAGTGGGATAATGATTTCAGTTCTCACTTCATATAAAGGTTAGTACGTGGGTGGAACTTAAGGGTAGTTCAGTAGTTAGGTCGTCTACGAATATTTACACTAGTTCTGATTTTACCTTCCTGCTTACCATACAATAATCCTCAACTTCTCTGCTGCCCGCATTTTAGGCTAGAGGTGTTTAAAAATCTATAAATAAACACGTAGATGTGCGAGACAGAGAGGAAGGGGGTATAGGTCAACTAATACCTTGAGAAAAATAGAATTAACTGGTAATTATTGCATCGATGCTGTAACGGCAGGTGATGTAGTTCCATTTCCTTTAACCCGTCTTTGTCGCCCCCATTGCCGTATATCCTCGATAAACTCATGTCCAGTGTACCATACAATGTGGTAAGCCTCAAAGCATGGCGATTACACATGAATGAGAGCGCTTTCACGCATGAAGCAAAGCACTTGCCACATAAGACCCTCGACTATAACACACCTGAGTACGGGTGTCAATGGGTATTCCAACAGAAACGGAGTTCATGGACGCTTAGGAGTTATATCTTGCAAGTTCGAAGGATATTTCCATCACAATCACATCATTATATGAAATGAAAGACGTAATTTCTGAAAGGATGTCACTTCTACAGCGTGCTGTGATTAGCTTGACGATATGAGACTATCATAATTATTGAGAAGGGGGGGGGGGGTTTCTATACCTTGAATCACATCGAGAAATCTGCCTACTTCAAACTATTATACTCTCCTAATAATTTTATCAAGAAGCAAATGAGTTAATATTCCACCCTGTAGTCTATATAGGAATGGGAGGAATGACAGTGTAGCATATACTGCCTCATAATCATATTTAATCATAATCATAATTAATCCACAAAGTATAGTTAATATTAATAATATAGCCAGCAACATGTTGCATGTGTCAACAGAATTTGATTATCAATGTGCCGAAAAAATATTTTAAAAACCTTGGAGGTTGCCCCCCCCCCCAACCCAACCCAAATCCACCCCATCCCTTTGGCAACTATTAATTAGAACATCACCATGTTGTTACTTCATGTGAGCCAATTACAGTCGAAACAAATACTATAGGATAGTATGTGTGTAAAGGATTGACTGGATTCATTCAATTTTATTAATCGAAATCGCAAGCGGAAACCAAAGTAAGCGTTATAAAATGTAATTATATTTGATATTAATCATCGAGACAGCGTGAAAGAAAGGGGACTTACACAAATAATGTGCATTCCCGAAGTACATGTATAGCATCACAAGAAGTGAGTAATGAGCCTAACAAAAGAGAGAACCAACATCAAACTTACACGACTAGATAAGATCAGCATGTGAAATAAAAAAATGATAGGCTATACCATTGATAACGAAAGCCAAAGCAAGAACCGGGTTGAACAAAAGATCTGAAATTTGTATGGAGTTCGATCATCACTTTGTTAGCATTGTTGGATATCTTTGTTTGATAAACTGGGAGATAGAAAGCGGAAGGGGTCCGTGGGTAAGTGGAGTTGCTGGTGGGTTGGTTGGAGCACAAGTCTGGGAACCATATTGAACAGATTTTCGTTTTGTTCAGCCTACAGTCTTTGTTCTTTCGACATGAGCTTCTGAAAGGAACATAATGTTTAATGACGAGAAGGAGATTGAGGAAGATTAAAAAAACATTAAAAAACATGCATATATTATATGTGAATCCAAAACAGGAAAATAGGCTCGAGAATCAAACTAAATGTAAGGAAAAGGGGGGGGGGATTATGAAATGGTAGCCATTATTATTTAATAGAGAGGGCCAGAAAAGAAACAATATTTCGAATATTTCATTCATCACAAAGTGCATGTCAGGCACAAATAATATCTGGGAAGCATCAGAAAAATAAACGAGATATGAGCCAAATGCAATAGTATAGATTTAAACTATAATAAAAAATTATAACCGACCGACGGTAGTAGGATCAAAAGGAACCATGCACGAAAATATATATATTTAATGTTTTTTTAAAACGATCATCAAAATTTAGCTTATTTAAAATATGACATGTGATTATGGACATTCTTATGTCCATGCTTTAATAAAGCGAGCGCAAGGCAGAGGGCAGTGAGTTGTCGGGAGGGACATGAGAAAGAGAATAAAAGCGCCAAGAATAATTCATAGTAACGGAGGTAATCAACCTAAAATGGTTTGAAGGACAAAAGATTGAAAGCTCTGTCATGCGTGTATACCATCCATCCATACATAGTCGATGACTTTCATCATCAAGATAATATACGTCATATTCGTACGTACTGGAAAGCAGGTGGTTTCGATAACGCATTTACAATTACTCTTTGTCAGTCTCTTACACAAAAACGCAAGCAATACAGCTCTTGAAATGCTAATTTCATCATCACTGAAGCGGATAGCATTCGTAATTTTGCTCGTACATAATATTAGAGTAGGTACTTTATCATTTATTAAATTAATCATTAATTCACTCCCTCCATCGCTAGATTAATGGCAAATGTTGTATCATGGCATTGCCTTAAAAATGTATATCCTTGTCTTTGTATGTAATGCAAATAGCGATACTTGATGATAGTTATACCAGACACACACCTACAGGCACAACATTTAATTTGTTATCTTTGAAATGAACAAATTAAATGGAGGCATGTAGTATTAGACCAGTATTCTATGACTAATGTACCCAATCATGAAATTTGACAAATCGATTACTATGTAATCATGATAATATGCACATTACAAGATGAAGGTCAGAACATTTTAACGATAATCACGAGACGTGATCTAGAACTGATTGACAGGTCTATATTCTTACCTGAGTCTCCTGCTGCTCAGATGTCTTTCGTAGGTTGCCATGGTAATATGACAATCCAGAGGTTTACAACAAACCACAAATGGTAAAACAATCAATGAACAATCGATGATAAGCTGAAAATCCCCGCGAATGAAAGAAAAATGGAAAAGGTCCTCGAAAACAAAAGCCGCAGCAGTGTAAAATATAAGATGAAAAGTCTTTAAGTTTTATCGCAAGATTTTCAAAGACTCCTTAAAATATTTCTCCCTTCATGTGGATGGGGTGTGATGAACAAAGTATGAGGTTAAGCGTCTTCCTAAACTAATGATGCTCGGCAGTACTCAGAGTCAGTGGTCTAAAATAATCCAAGAATTCCAGAGTTGATCAGATGGATATATTTCTATCCATACAACCTGCTTGTCCCTGTAACTTGTAAAACGCTGCCCCCACAAAGACCTGTAAGACCGTAGAGTGATTGCTCGGTAGGCTGACAGTAAACCAAGTAGGCTCTCGATCCAAGCGGAAATTATGCGCTGTCTGCTTGCTGCCTGCTCTGATCTTCGCCTTTTGCTCGACCGCTGAAGTGCTACCGATTGAAGCGAGTAGTAGCGAGCTTAGCTTAGCCACCCCCTCTTCAAAACCGCCTTTGTGTCGTACAGACGGCGTGTGCCTCTGCTCTGTGCAGAATAATGAAAAGAACCACCTTTTTCGCTTTTCTTTCTTTATCTTCTCTCGGCCTTTCAATATTTTTTCCTCTTTCTCCAAGCATCACTCGACAGCCGCTCAGTGTGTGCTCTGCTCAGCTCTTTTTTTCTTCCCCCTCTGTCGCTTAATTCCCAAGCGATCGATACTCGTCATAATGCCTGACGCTGTAGTACACACAATGATACAGTAGTCTCTGTTTGCGAACTAAATTATAGTTTCTCGAAAGTTTAGGCACCCATTAAAGAAAAGAATATAACCGTGAATAGAGAAAGTTAAAAGAATGACTCAAATAGGTATTTTCACCGATGTACATATGATAAATGATGACATATCTTCACACACTTGTTCATTTCCTTTTCCCATGTGTTTGTAGGTTTTTTCTCATACATTCCCCCTTTCTTAGTTTTGGACGATGATGATGATGCTACAAAAACTACTACATGTACAACAAGAACAAAAACAATAACAATAACAATAGCTTCTAGTACAACAGCTACTACTACTACTCCTACAGCTACTACTACTACTACTACTACTACTACTACTTCTACTACTACTACTACTACTATTACTACTACTACTACTTCTACTACTACTACTACTACTACTACTACTACTACTACCCTACTACTTATTTTACTACTACTACTACTACTACTTCGACTACCCTACTACTTCTACTACTACTACTACTACTACTACTACAACTACTACCCTACTACTTATTTTACTACTACTACTACTACTACTACTACTTCGACTACCCTACTACTTCTACTACTACTACTACTACTACTACTACTACTACTGATCCAGTAATCATTGCCATCAATCCATCATCTAAATCATAAACATCATCATCATACATTTACCACTTTCATTTTAACGTGAATAATTTGCAATGGTTTATGATGATTTTAAAAGGAGCGATCTCAAACTCAGGCATGTTACTTGTTAGGAAGTTTTGCCATTTGTGCCTCCACCGTGCACCATATGATGCTGCGTGTAGTAGACATGCTCAAGTGTCTAACGGAGAATACTTCATTGTCTACCACGGTCTGAAGTAAGCGACTAGTCTCAGGCGAGTGCTCAAGCATACGCGTGCCTGGCTCGCTTTCTCAATAGGCGAGTTTACACTACAGAGATGATAAATGATGGCTTTTACGATATCTACTTCCAAACCGTTTACATTAGGGATTATGAGGTAACTCAAATGATGTAATTATCTTCTCTTTATCAAGTCTTTTCGTCCCTTAAAAAAATATGTTTAATTTTTGGTATCGTCCTGTAGTGTTGCTGCCCCTAACTAAACTGCCCTGCCCTCTTCCTCTTACCGCTCTTAAAAATACTTCCACACAACTCCCTCTCTCCTCCTCCTCCTCCTCCTCCTCTACTCCCCTCCCCTCCCAGGGCCTCCCATCCCATACCCCCACCTCTTCCATATTCTACTTACAGCACACATTGTCATCCAAATGTCTACGAGGGTCATTCCAAACATCAAGTTAGACAATCAATCCTCATTTTATGGCTTTAATTGATTGACAAAGACTAACTTCGTCTTCGGTGATGCAAACACAATCACGAGTATCGGTGGATTTAGAAGGGGCGCACACCACTTCGTTAGTAGTAGGATCAATCCGGGATCCGCGACAGGAGAAGCCGCAATTATCAGGGACATTTAATCATATATAACATCACTTTCATTTCAGTTCATGTACAGCTGATTAAGGTTGATAAAAGTCAAAGACAAGGTAACTGTAGTTTGCATCTAAGCAGCAACAATTTGAATTATTCCTCCAATAAGATGTACCCCTACATCGCCATAAGTATGGGCTTCTAGACAGAATGCATTGGAAGGGTCTGGGGCATGGGGTTCAGCTAAGTAAAGAACATAAATTCGTCCCGGACACTAGGCAAATATTTACCACGAGTCCTGTTTACATGAGCATGGTGAGAGAGAGAGAGAGAGAGAGAGAGAGAGAGAGAAGGGGACGTGAGATGAGTAGCAGCATACATGGTAAGGCGTCAAGGTGGTTTTACAAGAACTTTATACAGCGGCGTATCCAGACATTGATGAACGGGAGGGGCGGGGGGGGGGGGGGGGGGGGGATCCACCCCACCTAAGAGGGAGTATATTGGCTAATAATTGATCACTAATAAATTATGAAAGTTCTACTGATTTTTCAAACAGAGGCCTTAAAACAGAGGGGGTGGGGTAGAATTTTTTTTTTTTTTTTTTTTTTTTTGGGGGGGGGGGGGGGGGAGGGTGCTACACCGGTTTTACCCCATGCTGGGGGGGGGGGGGTAGGCCATTGTTTTCTCAATATAGAGTTAACTATTGAGAGGATGATTGCATGTATGGAGAGTGGAATCGAAGAGCAGAGTGAGGTAGTGAACATATTAATATAGTATTATAAGCAAGAAGACAAGGAGAATACCGAGAAAAAGAAATTCGAAAGATGGCCATGCAGTCGCAGCTCCTTCTATATTTATTCAGGGATACGATCCAAAAATGCCAGTGGGGTGTATTTCCAACAAATTTGCAATATTATCTTGCACCTGTTGAAAGGGTGCCTAATAATGGGTTTCTATTTTGCACCCTAAAGTGTACTGTTATTGAAACATTTAAATGGTTCGTAGGTTAAATAAACTTGAATTACCTTATGATATGATTTGATTTAAAGTAAGAATTGGAAAGGAGGGTAAATACATTTTAAAGAGAGGGAAAATGCAGTCTATAAGAATTATGCTGCTTCTATTCAATGCCTGCCATTGAGCATGAAAGAATAACGAAATCATGTAATGTTTTTCGACATAGATGGCGCTAGTGTATATGCTCGAATCTCTCTGATTGTGAAAAGGAAATCTCTCTCAAGGATAGATGTGATCGTACAAAAAACAATAACTGTAAACTTATACTGCACTATACTGACATGGACGTACTAAGAATTCCATGCTTTAATTCATTATAGAAAAAAGTAGAATCAGTTTTGATTTCGACTCTTCGCGTAATGTATAAATACGTCCACCTTCTCCTTCTCCTTATCTTCTTGCTACTCGCTTAGTTACGAATATCAAATGTCTTATTTCAATGTTCTTATGTAATGGAATATGAATTTTTCAAGTAAGAAAATAATTTTAATAGGCACTTTCCTAGCCATGCTAGCCGGGTCTCAAATTTACCTGCAAAAAGGAGTTTATTCATAGGAAAAGAAATGTCCCGTCGGGGGAATTATTTAATATCCCCAATCATTTCAGAATATCAAACTCATCTTTTGGGTTATGACAATCGATTAGGACCCAAATGCAGGCCTACCCAAATGCACCAGCCTTTCATTGGTACACCAAAATAAATTTTATAAAACATGAAAAGAGACACACAAAAAAACATGTCAAATTATCGATGATCTTCTTCATCATATAATTATACGGAACCTATTCTTTACAAGCTTTTGATTAGGTTTCTTTATATTTCACCATCAAATAAAAATGTTCGTCTTCTTATGAAAGCTGTTAAATAACTTGATCAATATCTAAATTTGTAACATGAATCGTATTTCCTTTTGTGTGATATATAATTTACAAATAATTGTTTTATATTTTGTTATATTTGTATCATGTCTAATATTGAAAACAATAAACTGAAACTGAAACTGAAACTTGTTTCCCACTAAGAAAAAGGAAACAATTGTTTTTCATGCAATTGGTACTAAAAGTCGTATAGCATGAATTTCTTGTTGGAATTTTTTTCCCTCTCTTTCAGGAATCGCAAAAAAAAGGCATTCTCCTTCCCAACATTACCAATCACGCAATGTGATTTTACTAATTTGTTTTGTGAGAAATCATAGAAAGAAATGCGAAGAAAGTTATGTGTAATATTATACAAATAATGAATGGTTATGAGTTCCATAGTGCGAATGTTTTCATGAGTTGAAAGATTAACATTCTATTCAACGAGGCTGACGCCTCGTTGAATAGAATTAACGTTAATCTTTCAACGAATGAAAATATTCGCACCATTAAACGAATGAAAAACATTCAGTATTTGTTTTATACAACATCGAAGAAGATCTAATAGAACGTTAATCAACAAATTATGCTTTACTCCTTATATTAAAGATAAATTAAAGTTGGAGTCAAGCCTTCTCGATTACATTCAGATTGCCTTCGCGTCAGATACACGCAGGGATACGCGCGCACACGACAAAGAGGTACGCAGTCTGCATATAACCAAAAATGCACGGCGCATATAACCAAAAATGCACGACCGTGCAATATAACATCTATTGAATATCATGTGACCAACAATCCTCCAATCAAATGACAAGGATCCACGTAGGTGTTGTATAAATCATTCTATATAGGCATGGTCACACGATGTGACCCCTTTCAATATAGGCCCATGGATTTCTTATAGTAACTATTTATGTTATTCAACTTCAGTAGTAGCAATGTTTAAACGTAAAGTTGAGCTCTGGACATGCCATTGCATTTTGAAAGAAACGGTTTGGAATCGATCAGAAAAGGTTGATCATGTATATTGCATAAAAATATTGGTGTCTACTGGAGCCATCAAAATGATACGAAATTTGGCCCAGTCTTGGTAAAGTAACATTAATAGGTATATGGGACTACACAAACATGTGGCATGAAAATCGGGCCTCATTTTTAAGCTGTTACTTGTCATATTTGTATGAAGGCATTTGAAGAGCCATGCTTTGCAGGGAACATATTTTCTCTGATGTTCTTCCACACTTGCATAACACCAATGATAACGCTCACAATCTTTTTTCTCCCCTCTCCCCAGAACTCAACCTTCTCTTTAAAGGTACTATGTCCCATTTGCAGGCCAAAAAAAATGAAAAGGTTAAATTCCAATGGCATTTGAAAGAAAATCCTAATTTAGAACTTCCCTAAAAAAAAAAAAAAAAAAAAGGGGGGGGGGGGGGCTTACAAATGTTTTTAAGTGGGAAAATAACGACTATTAGTTGTCGAATCAACCTAGGAGCTATAGAGCCAATAAGTAATAGTCTGATTTTTCAGACCATTGTACCGAATTTTCTCAGACCTGCTAAGCTCCACCCTAAAACAATTGCTAAAAACTATGTGCCTGACCCCAGTGAGAATGGGATTTAAAGGCACACTGCCATACTTGTAGCTACTTGCTCCCTCTATAGAAAACTTCCCCAATCGGTGCCTGTTGGTCCCCCATGATCCTCTTTTTCTTATGTTAAATGAGAGCTGAGTTAATGAGATAGCCACCTGTCACAGTGACCTCGATGGCTCGCTGTGTGGTCTAATCCCTTCTTGCCCAGTAGTGGTGACAGTCTTTAAGTTGGAAATTACCTATGCCTTGCTACATGAAAAGGTCGGCTCTAGAAGAGTCAGATAACAAATGAGGGCGAACACTACACGCTCTCCCGTATGCTTCCCATTAAAGGCCCACTGCACTACTGGTAGCTACTTGCGCCCTCTATATAACAAACAATTCCTAATCGGTGACCAGTGGTCCCCCATGATCCTCTTTTTCTTATGTTAACTGAGAGCTGAGTTAATGAGATAACCACCTGCCCAGTGACCTTGTAGAGCGGTTTAATCCCTCCTGTAAACTACGGCAGATAAGCTTTAAGAGCCCGATGACCTTTGGGTGTTCATTGTTCGGTAGGAACTATACCTGCACCTAGTCTGCAAGCACAAACCCTGGTCAGTCGTAAAAGTGAGTCTGCACTATAAGACTACCACAGGCCATGTACTGTAGCTGCTCCTGACACATATATTGACACAACCAGTAGGTAGCTGGGCTAGACTTCTCTCAAGGCACAATGATTTTTGATTAAGTGTCAAATTAGGGTCTGTGCCTGCAGACTAACCTGCACCTAACACTGTAAGGTCAGAATTAGTGTGGGTAAAGTGGTTTAGTTTCCGTGTGGCCTCGCATGACCGTGACCGGAAATTCCTCGCTTAAAAAGACATATGGACATGTGTGTATATTATAACTGGGAGTATACACATTCCCTATTTGCCGTTGACATTGTTAGCTTCATAATTCACAAACTGACCACTATAAAGTTGCTGATAAAAAACCTGTTCCGATCAAAGGGCGCGCTTGCGTCTGTAACAATTAACTCGTCTACACGTATGCTAGCTTGCCCGTACGACTACAGTTGAAAAATGTCTGCTGCTATTTCTAATATAAAACCTTTGACAAAAGACCATGGACGCTACGAAGATGCTTTTAACAATGCTTTCTATAAGGTGGTGAAGAAAGATGTCGCTCTCGAAAAGGTGATTCAATATTTTGATGCCACAGTGATGAAGAGGCTTACTGATGTCTTTGGGTGTGGTGAAGAGTTCAGTCTACTTGGTGTAGGAGTCGGAGAAGGTAAAGAGCTATTTCTTTTTATAAAATCAGTTATATTGATTGTAGTCATGACTTAAAGGGATAGTTGAGTCCTTTTTTCAGACCGCAAATGCCTTCAAAGTGCATGGTTATTACTCTTATTCTTATCTATTTATAGTGCCCTTTTAGAATCTTAAATTGCTATGAAAGTAATTTTAGACCCCTTAAATGTGTGAAATTTAGCCAATACGATCGTACTTCTACTTCTACGTCGGTACTTGACAGGATCCATCAGTCAGGATATAACGTCAAGGTTGAAATTCAGCTCCACTTTTAAAAAAACACGGTGACCGTTAATTATTGATTTAATTAAAAATAACCAATAACAATACATGAGCCGGCTAATCGTGGGTAACACGAAAATGCCAACAATAAAGTATTAAAAATCGTTATATTTCAGCCGTCTCTGAACCGATTTTGATTAAACAAAGATGATTTTGTCATTTAAATATTATGTTCTTTCAAATTTGACACTCAGTTTTTCATTATCTCACAAAAAAAATTATTTTGTGAAGCGCCCTCTGCAACAGAATTCGACTATCCCTTTAATATTTTTCGCGACTGTTGCGTACTATACTGTCTGTGCTTGAGGGCGTTTCCGACATGGCGTGGACAGTGCACTGGGAGTGGGTTTGGTCGGCAGATGCCCCAACACAAGTGTGTTTTTTATCCCCCAAAAGTGTGTATAATATATATATATGTATATATAACTCTTTTGAAAGCAGTAGGCCTTCAGAGATAAGTTTTATGTACATCTTTTAGCTCAATATAAACAATGTAAGTATATTTATATTAAATGTTTATATAAAGTTAGATATATAGATAAACGTTTTAGAAACAGAATATAATTATAGGTCTTCTGTGGTATATGCGCAATCTCCGTCTGTCTAGATCCGTGTATACCACTTTATAAAGTACGTCAATAGGTGGTCGATGATTGTTTAATTTTAGTGTCTCAACCTCCATCTTAGTATAGGCCTATACATGTTACTCTATTTGTTACCCTATATAATTTGTGCTTATGTATATTGACTTTTATACATTGGCCCCAACATGGCATAATTAAAAACAATTGTTTGTTCCACAGGCCCGCAGGAATTTCACTTTCTGAAGAGTCTTCAATCTCACTACTCATCCATATGTAATGTTGCAGTAGACCCTAATGAAGGCATGCTACAAACATTCAAGGGTAGAGTTGCTACATTGAATTTTGATGACAAATCGTCTTGTCATTGGTTCACTGGTCCGTTGTCACAATTCGTTGCTGAAAGCCCCTTGGCGGGAAACAAGTACAACCTCATCAGCTCTATTCATTCGCTCTACTACACGGGTGACTTTGAGACGACCTTCACCCAACTAGCATCCATGATGAAAGATAAGGGTCTCATGATCATCATTTGTAAAAACGGTAGGTAGCGTATAGACATTATCATTCGCTCCATTGGCTCTTGCAAGTGTCTCAACTAAAATATTTAAAAATGTCGTAATAAAACACTTTGAACGAGTGTAAAATCAAGTCGAAAATATCTTCAAAAATACTTTTCAACATAATTATAGGGGGAGGATGGAGTGAAATCGGACACGAATCGGGATACGATTGTTTAAACTTATGACTTTGTAAATATTCATTGTAGCCTCTAAACTTTTATGATGCTAAATAATCTTAATCCTGGGAGTAGGCTACATATATACACCGTCCTTATTTTTTGTTTTTTAGGTTATATACATTTTTTTAATAAGAAGTCTTGAACGGGATGAAGTAGGCTACTTGGGGTGAACTCGGACTGTCAAGGAGATACAACGGATAAAACTTTATAAACAATCTTTAAATCATTTTTTTAAAAGGTGATTTCGCCAAAACTAAAGCAATTGCTGGAGATATTAAGACTAATATATAATTTTAGAATGAGACTTAGTGGTCGCTCGTTATATTGAACGATAAACATCCGTTGTACAATGTAGATAATGAGATGCAAGTTTTAAAGGTACTATGCAGCCAACCTCAAATGCTGTAGAACTTTGCAGGAATTATGAATATGTCATGTATGTCCTATCTGTGAAATTTAAACGTTAGCAGTGTCCTCATATTCAAATTATGCAAGGAAACCCGTTAACTTGCTAGACTTCACTGTCAGACACTATTGAGTGACTGACTGGCTTTTCTTCTTCTTTGGTAATAAAATACATGAAAAGGGTTGTAAAGGGTACAAGAGCATTTGTCTACATCAATAACCCACTTCTTGTGATGGCCAAGATTAAACTGATTGAATCTTTGTGCAGCATAAAACGTATGACCATTCGGTACAATTGTCTGAAAATCAAGACTATTACTTTTAGGCTCTATAGCCCTAAAGTCGATTTGACAAATACTAGTCGTTATTTTCCCACTTGAAGACATTTTCAAGCCCCACCTTTTTTAGGGAAGTTCTAAATTAGTATTATCTTTCAAATGCAGTTGGAATTTAACTTTTTCATTTTCTTTGGCCTGCAAATGGGACATAGTACCTTTAAGCAAAATTTCAGGATTTTTAAAATCATATGATATGTATTGTTTTTACTCAAGTTTGTCCGAATTAACTTTTTATTACAGTTTATTTCAGTCTCGATTGTTTGTTCATTCGTTGTTGCTTTATACAGATATTAACCTGATCTCACAAACATTCCACAAGTTACCCTGGCTGGCAGAAAGCACTCTATCAAATGAACGACTTTCCTCGAAGAATGTTCGAGAATTTGCACAAAGCCAAGGATATGATGTCACCACTGTCGACATACCTGTACATTGGGACATCACCGAAGTGTTTGATGACCAGTCAGACTTTGGAAATAAACTCCTTGACTTCTTCACCCAGGCGGCGTACTTTCGGGAGACGGCACCGTCTGAGGTGGTCGATGATTTGATGAGCTTTTGGCGTTCCATTTCGACCGAAGATGAGAATGGACGTATTTTAGCACCAGCCCATGACGAAATACTTCTCATCTCCAAATAATTCACTGTAATCGTTCTTCAGAGCACTTAAAAGTATGTTGTTTACAATATCAATAGAGTTTATCACAATTGCCCTTTTTCATGCGCTTACTATATAGTTATCTATCTACCACGTATTGGTGCTCAAGCAGCTCTAATAGTGCCTTGGATACGATACAGGATGCGACATATATATAGTTCCATTTCAAATATTTTATGAACGATTTAGATGAGCGAGTTTAAGGTAAAGGGAGACCAAATATGAGGGGGGAGGGTATTTTGAAGAAAAAACTCCGATACTATTGTTATCATTATTATTGAATTGAATTGATTTGAATTGAATTCAATTCGATCATTCTATTTTTCCATTACTGCAATAGTTTTACGCACAAAATGTGATATTTAAGGAGCAAAATCTTGTAACATTTGAAACATTGAAACACAATTTTTGTAGTTAAAAAAGGTGAACTCTGGCCCGTGAAGGTACTGCGTCCCATTTGCAGGCCAATAAATGAAAAGGTTAACTTCCAATGGCATTTGAAAGACAATAATAATTTAGAACTTCCCTCAAAATGTAAGGGCTTGAAAATGGCTATATGGGAAAATAACGACCATTAGTTGTCGAGTCGACTTAAGTGATTGCAATTAACCAAGTAATAGTCTGATTTTCAGACCCTTTTACCCAATAACCGTACGTTTTCGTGCTGCACAAAGACTCAATCAGTTTAATTTTGGCCAAAGAAGTGGGTTATTGATGTAAACAAAAGCTTATGAACCTGTTACAGTTCATTTTTTGTATATTACGGGTTTCCTTGCATAATTTGAATAATTTGAATTTTAATTTGGTTCGACTGGAAATATGCCCACGGAACAGTTTTCAACTGTTGAAACTCGACATATGCCAACAGTCAGTTATCAACTGGCCAACTGGAAATATGCAAATATACCAGTTATCAACCGGTGCAACTGAATATATGCCCACAGACCAGTTATGAACTGCTTCAAATGGAAATATGCCCACAGACCAGTTCTCAACTGGTGTAACTGGTCTTGAAGGACTGGTTCCAGTTAAATGAAATGCAGTCGCACCAAGTATCCCATTGATGTGCATCATATGGACCAGTTAGAATCATTTCACTGGAACCATTTGCCGTCAACTGGGATCCAGTTTAATTTAACTGGTTCCAGTTGAGGTTAACTGGAACCAATTGTAAATTCCAACTGGTGGTAACTGGTTTGTCCTTCTTTGGCCATATGAAGACATGTACAGGTATAGCTGTATGAGATTCTGTGGCAATTGTGTGATTAAGTAATTTAGGAATATCACTCTGTGGAAATTTCCATGTGAACACACAATTTTTTTTACATATTCTAAAATGTTAAGGGGAACCGAACTATGACAAAGATATAAGCACACAGTTTACTTTTATGACACACACTGTTATAAACATGTGGCACTTTGTGAATAATATATACGCCTGTGGTAAACCACAATCTGAAACATCACACTGCGACAATACTCTGAACACAGAGTTTGCACATAGTGCAATACATATACCACTGTGGTAAATAATATGTGGTGCTCTGTGTTAAATATGTCAGTTTACGTGCATATTATGTAGTAAACCACATGGTTTGAAACTCCACACTGTTACAATAATGTGAACACATAATGTCCACACATTTTATACATAGTTGACTTTGTGAACATAAGGGTTAGGAACATAGTGTAAACGTAGCATTAGTTATTTAGCATAGAAACTAAAATGACAGACCGCGTCTGAATGTGGCCCTGTTCACACGCATATGTATGCTTGTGTGTACTGTTTAATAGTTTACTGCATAGTTTTAAAGCAGGGTGTGTTCACATAGAGATGTAAACCAGTTTAACTTTAATCTTGTGTCCTATCATAAATAATCTATATCAACGTGTAGTACTGCTTTAGCGAAAGGGTTTGTACATGCTTACATGCTGAAGCATTTGTTTGTTTGTTTATTATCATTAACTGTTGAGGATCTGAAAGTTGTGTATTGTTCGTACGTGCGCCCGAAAGTCGAATACTGCGCACCTGTTTGGCATTCAGGTTTGACTAGGGCAGACAAGAAACTGATAGAGAGAATTCAGAAACGAGCGTGTCGCGTCATGCTTGGCCAAAGATACACGAGTTATGATGATGCCCTCAATGTTCTTGACCTTCCCACACTGGAGGAGAGGAGGGAAAGGTTAACAAAGAAATTTGCGAGTAACCTCACAAAGGAAACGTCCCCCTCCTATCACTGGCTCCCCCCTACGCGAGCTTCCCGTACTTCCCGCAACCTGCGCAACGCTAATGACTATTCCGAAATCAAATGCAAAAATGAGCGCCACAGAAAGAGCGCACTCCCCTTCATTGTGAGGTTACTCAATTCAAAACTGGATTAATGTAAAGACTGATCGTTTGTTCATAAATGCTGAGCGTATACGTAAATCAAATTGTTATCTTATAGATGTGCTTGAATGAAAAATTATATTGTTTACTGAAGATTTACTGTTTTGTTTATACGGATTATATTAATTTCAATATTGCATTACCAAACATATTCTCTATTAGCCAATAATAGGAAGTGAAACTATAATTTCACTCTCCTTTTGTCTTAGGTGAATTATACGTCCATTTTGTTCTCCATATACATGTACCTTGCACCCACATGACAATAGGCTTACTTTGAAGCATGCAAAACAGATAATTTTTCTTAGCACTGATCATAATTTATTCAACTGTTATATTCCTCCTATGAATTTGCTTAAGACATATCATAAAGCACTTATTTTTCCACATCCATTACCCACTTCCGTTATCCCACCATCAATATTCTTTGATCTAAGGTGTACCTATAATTGTTTGTTATGAATGTACTATTTTTAATGACTTTGTAATACTATTGTATTTTGTGCAGTATCCTTGTGTTATTACATATGTAAATTGCACTCAATTCAGCCGAAAGGCAGCCATGTACAATTTTTTTTTTTATACCACAATAAATAAGTAAATAAATAAATTACAGATTGTTATCTGAAGATTTTACCGAAGATATTAAGGTGAAGTTTACACCATTGTTGATATTGCTGAATAAAACGGAAGTTTGTTGAACTTTAGCAAACTGTTTCCAATTGTTGATTTTCATCGGTGTGCCATTTTGAATAACAACAGTCGGACATTTGTTGTTAGACGAAAGTCCTTCATATAAAGATTTATGAAAGCTGCCTAATTACTCTATAAATGACATCAAACTATAATAAACAATTGCTAAAAACTATGTGCCTGACCCCAGTGAGAATGGGATTTAAGTTTGAAATTACCTATGCCTTGCTACATGAAAAGGTCGGCTCTAGAAGAGTCAGATAACAAATGAGGGCGAACACTACACGCTCTCCCGTATGCTTCCCATTATGAGCCCGATGACCTTTGGGTGTTCATTGTTCGGTAGGAACTATGCACCTAACACTGTAAGGTCAGAATTATTGTGGGTAAAATGGTTTAGTTTCCGTGTGCCCTTGCATGACCGTGACCGGAAATTCCTCGCTTAAAAAGACATATGGACATGTGTGTATATTATAACTGGGAGTATACACACTCCCTATTTGCCGTTGACATTGTTATCTTCATAATTCATAAACTGACCACTATATTGCTGATAAAAATCCTGTTACGATCGAAGAGCGCACTTGCATCTGTAACAACTCGTCTACACGTATGCTTGCCCGTACGACTACAGTTGAAAAAATGTCTGCTGCTAATTCTAATATAAAGCCTTTGACAGAAGATCATGAACGCTACGAAGATGTTTATTACAATGCTTTCTACAAGGTGGCTCAGAAAGATGTCGTTCTCGAAAAGGTGATTCAGTATTTTGATGCCACAGTGATGAAGAGGCTTACTGATGTCTTTGGGGGTGGTGAAGAGCTCAGTCTACTGGGTGTAGGAGTCGGAGAAGGTGAGTTATTTCTTTTATAAAATCAGTATATTTTGAATAAGGAGTCATGACAGAATATAGATTGTTTGCGACTTTTGCGTACTCTGTCTGTGCTTATATAGTTGTCAAGGAGGGCATATCAGACATTGAGTGGATCGAGTCGGCAGATGCCCCAACATCAGCGGTTTTTATCCCAATAAAAAGTATATATACAAACTCTTTCGAAAGCAGTAGGCCTTCATGGATGCATTTTACTTGTTTTATGTCAATATATTAACAATTTAAGTATATATTTATAAAGATATATATATATATATATATTTAATATTAAGGCATGAAGAAAATGGTCTAGGAACGTTAGACGTAGCTGTACTTTACAAGTTTATTACGAGCTTTCGGCTTGTGAGGCCTTCTTTAGGTTCTGAAGTACAAACATATACAAAAACAATATTAATACTAGAATTTAAATCGTCACGAGGACGATTAAGGTGGTCTGTCTTCAAGTCTTATGATAGATTATAATATTTACTTTATTGAGAAAGGGAGAAGTTATATAGACATGTAAACAATGATGATCATGATGATGATGATGATGATGATCTTGATAGTAATGGTGATGACGATGATGATGATGATGATGATCATGATGATGTTGATGATTATCATCAACAGACCATGATGACATCAGACTGACAAAAATGAGAGAACATTTAGATAGTATATAGTCACAGCTACAACATACTCAAAAATCAACAAAAATCAAGCCGAAATAACGGCGATATTGCTCGCAAAAGACAAGATTTTGTAGAATCCAGATTTGAGAAAAAGTCATCTCCCATAAGGATTGCACGCAAAAAATATTGGATCAAGTGATAATAGGGTAATAATAAAGTAAATATGGTTGTATATTACATTATTTACGATTGTACGTGTTTTAATATTGAAAGGAGATGGTACAGTGAAGGGTGAAAGAGAAAAAAAAGTGAAGAAAACAAATTGTTGGAGACGCCCGGACTCGAACCAGGGACCTCGAGGTCGGAAGTCAAGTGCGTTACGGATATACCAAAACATTTCCCATAGAGATTACAGGTAAACGGGAAATGGAATTCTCAAATCCCACTTTGGAAGTGAAATATGAGCATGATCCCGGCATCTGAATGAAAAATAAAGGGCACACTTATGATAGCTTATTGTCTCAGCTACAACATACTCAAAGCTCAGCGTAAATAAAGATAAAACGACGGAGATATTGCTCGCGAAAGACGAGAATGTAGAATCCAGTTTTGAGAAAAAGTCATGTCCCATAGAGAATACACGCAAAATGTGAAAAATTGACATGCCACCTTTAATCGCAAAAATACGCCATGATACCTTTGTCAAAATGAAATATTGTGTTGACTGCATTTGTAGAGAATTGTCTAAGCTAGATCATATTAAAATTTGGAAGAAAATTGATCATTGTTTACAGAGATACAGTCAATTTTCCAGAAATATGCTGACGTCATAATATGCAAATTGAAATTTTGAGTTTGGAGGCCATTATGATGACGTCGTGAGTTAATTGAGGGTCAAATGAGACATGAAATCATACCTCCAACTCATAATCTATTTAAATATGAAAGAAATTGGGGGTTATCTATCAATTCTGAAGAGTTAAAATGAATTTTGTATAGGCATGTTTTTGCCCATGTATTGTGGATACAGATAGCGCAGGTCGGCGCGTGCGTTCAACTTTGACAGCCGCTAATTGCGTTATTACTGGTCGGAAAAAGGTAAACAAGGTATCAAAATGCTTGGAAAAATGTAATAAATATGATAACAGAGAAAATTTGGCGATTCTATGTTGCAAAATGCCAGGACGCGCGGGTACGCATGGAAACGCGCGCGCATAATTACGCGCGCGCAAATTTTAAAAATGCTTACAATGGCCTGAAACGTGTGCAAAAAAAATTTGAAACGAATTAGAGCATTTTAAAAATTTGATGCGTGCGTACGTGCGCGTCGAGGTGCGCGCGCGGAAATTGTTGGCATTTTTAGTTGACCTTTGACCTGAAATTGATGTATACCAAATATGGTTCATTTTTGATGACTCATGATTGTGATACGATAATGACCTGATTTTTACAAAATGGCGCCTGGATGACGTCACGATGACCTAATGACCTTGAAAAAGTAAATTAGACTTGAAATCATAGGGCTTGATGACTGACAAAAATTTGAAGGAAATTGACTATGTCGATTTCGAGTAAACGTGTGCACAAAAAAGTGTACGGAAGAAATAAAAATAAAGAAAGAAAGAAAGAAAGAAAGAAATAAAGAAAGAAAATTCTAGCGAAATCAATAGGTGATCTGTCGTTGACAGACCACCTAATTACACCTTACAGCGTCATTAGAAGGACATTATGTAATGAAAAACTGAGTCATTAAGTAAACATGTTCACGAGCAGGTCATTTTCGTGTCCTGTAAACGATTGAACCTAGTGTAAAGTATGGTGGCCCTGAAGGGACATCGCGAATAGACTAAATCGTGAAAAATATGCGATAAAATTCACGATATCGTCAATTTTATCGCATATTTTTCACGAAGAAATTCACGAAATTGACGATATCGTGAACTTTATCGTGAACTTTTCACGATGAAATTGACGATATCGTGAATTTTATCGTGAAAAGTTCACGATATAAAGTTCACGATATCGTCAATTTTATCGTGTACTCTATCGTGTACTCTCCTGACGGGCGCTTCGTAAACAAAACCAGCCCTAGCTGGGGGAGACAGAGAGAAGGAAAAAAGGGAAAGGGAAAGAGAAGATAAAAGGAAAGAAAGAATGATAAGAAGAAAAGAGAGAAACGGGGGGGGGGGCGAAGGGCTCTTGCCTCCTCCTCACTCCCCCCCCCCCTCCCCGCCAAAAAATAAATCAGAGAGAGAGAGAGAAGGGAAAGGGAAAGGGAAAGAGAAGATAAAAGGAAAGAAAGAAGAGGAAGAAGAAGAAAAGAGGAAAACGGTGGAAGGGCGAAGGACTCTTGCCCCCCCCCTCCCCCCCCCGCCAAAAAATAAATCAGAGAGAGAGAGAGAAGGGAAAGGGAAAGGGAAAGAGAAGATAAAAGGAAAGAAAGAAGAGGAAGAAGAAGAAAAGAGGGAAACGGGGGCAAAGGGCTTTTGCCTCGTCCCCCCGCCCCCCGCCAAAAAATAAATAAGAGAGAGAGAAGGAAAGGGAAAGAGAAGAAAGAAAGAGAAAAACGAAAAAGAGGGAGAATAGGAAAGAAAGGAAAAGAAAGAAAAGAAAGGAGGCAAGAGCCCTTCGCCCCTGTTTCCCTCTTTTCTTATTCTTTTTCCTCTTCCTTTCTTTCCTTTTATATTTTCTTTCCCTCTCCCTTCTCTTTCCCTTTATGGCGGGAGGGGGGAGGGGGAGGTAAGAGCCTTTCGCCCTTCCCCCGTTTCCCTCTTATTCCTCTTCTTTCTTTCCATTTCCCTTCTCTCTCTCTCTCTCTCTCTCTTATTTATTTTTTTGGCGGGGGGGGGGGGGGGAGGTAAGAGCCTTTCGCCCTTCCCCCGTTTCCCTCTTTCCTTCTTCTTCCTCTTCTTTCTTTCCTTTTATATTTTCTTTCCCTTTCCCTTTCCCTTCTCTCTCTCCTTATTTATTTTTTGGCGGGGGGGGGGGGGGAGTGAGGAGGAGGCAAGAGCCCTTCGCCCCCCCCCCCCGTTTCCCTCTTTTCTTCTTATTATTCTTTCTTTCCTTTTATCTTCTCTTTCCCTTTCCCCTTTTTCCTTCTCTCTGTCTCCCCCAGCTAGGGCTGGTTTTGTTTACGAAGCGCCCGTCAGGAGAGTACACGATAGAGTACACGATAAAATTGACGATATCGTGAACTTTATATCGTGAACTTTTCACGATAAAATTCACGATATCGTCAATTTCATCGTGAAAAGTTCACGATAAAGTTCACGATATCGTCAATTTCGTGAATTTCTTCGTGAAAAATATGCGATAAAATTGACGATATCGTGAATTTTATCGCATATTTTTCACGATTTAGTCTATTCGCGATGTCCCTTCAGGGCCACCATAGTAAAGGGAGGGACACTATAGGTTAGTACTGTCCCTTTACAATGGGACACTAATTGAACCAAATGAGTAAATACCATCTGTGTACCTTTGTAGGCAGAGGAAACGTAAAGGGCTCCCGAGAAACAATAGGTTTAATCATTAGTCAATAGTCATTGTAGTTTAATTAGTCTAATTAGTTATATTATTTTGAATTTAGGGTTAGGGTTAGCGTAATATACCAGTTTTTATCCTGTTAATGTATCTATCTATCTATCTATCTATCAGGCTATAGTTCATCCAGACGTTGGACAAAGCCCTCCTCATGAAATTTCCATTCTCTTCTGTCTCTAGCTGTCCTGGTCCAAGCGGCCGTTCCTATGTATGATGTTAGGTCGTCTCTCCATCTTCTCTTCTGCCTTCCTCTTCTTCTCTTTCCCACCCTTGGTTGCCATTCTGTTAAACGATTTGTCCATCTATTGTCCTGCAGTCTTGCTACATGCCCAGCCCATCTCCACTTTGATTCTCTTACTTTCTCCATGATGTCTTTAACCTTTGTTTTCTGGCGTATGACTTTGTGGTTGATTTTGTCTCGCAGAGATAAATGCGACATCTTTCTCTCCATAGCTCTTTGAGTAGTCACAAGCTTCTGTTCTAGATCCTTTGTCAATGACCATGTTTCTGATCCATATGTCATAGTTGTTAGAATGCATTGGTTGAACATTCTTCTTCTTAGTGACATGGGTATGTTTTTATCGGTCAACATGTCTTTGTATCTTCCAAAGTTCATCCATCCTGCTTTTACTCTCATCATAACTTCTTCTTTTGTGGTGTCCTCCATTTTCAAAGTTTGTCCCAGATACTTGTAACTGCTCACTCTCTCTAACGTTCGACCTTCTATCTCGATGTTTTCATCTGTGTCATAATTAGTCATATATTTAGTTTTCTCTTTGTGCATAGTTAGGCCAATACGTTTGCTCTCCCTATTGAGACCTGTCAGCTGGTCTTCCAAGTCTTTGGTTGATGTTGAGATCAAGGCCACATCATCAGCAAATCTTAGATCAGTAAGCGTTTCCCCATCAATGTTTATTCCTCCATTTAAATGCGACTTTTTAAATACTTCCTCTATAGTGGCTGTGAATATCTTTGGAGATAATGTGTCTCCCTGTCGGACTCCCCTCTGGATCTTGACCTCCTTTGATACATCATTATCAATGTGAATTCTGGCTACTGCGTTGGTGTAAATATCTTCCAGGATGCGCACATACCCTTCTTCAATGTTAATCTTTCGTAGGGCATCAAACATGTCTGTGTGTTCGATGGAATCAAACGCCTTCTGGTAGTCTACGAATCCGAGGCATAGTTGAAGTTGGTACTCATTTGCTTTCTCAATTAGTTGATTTATAGCTTGTAGGTGGTCTGTTGTTGAGAATCCAGCTCTAAACCCTGCTTGTTCTCTGGGTTGATTTGAGTCCAATCTATCTTTGATTCTATTTTGGATTACTTTGGTGAAGATCTTGTACAGATGAGATAGAAGGCTGATAGGGCGATAGTTTTTGACATCAGCTTTGTCACCTTTCTTGTATAAAAGAATTATTTTTGCCTCTTTCCAAGTGGTTGGAATCTGTTGCTTTTCCAATATCTGGTTGAATAGTTTCATTAACTGTGTGATTGTCTCCTCCCCTCCTTGTTTGATAATATCACTTGTTATTTCGTCATTTCCCGGTGCCTTGTTGTCCTTCATACTGTTTACAGCTTCCTCAACTTCTCTCTGTAGTATTGGCGGTATGTCTGATTTTCTGGATGAGATATCTATATGATCCTTCGGTTGTTTTTTCGTTGAACCATAAAGTTCCTGGTAGAAATCGGCGCATATTTCTAGCAGTTCCGATCTGTCAGAAGTTATATTTCCATCTTTTTTCTTCAGTTTGCTCATTCTGGACTTTTTGCTTGCCATCTTTTGTATTGTTTTTGGTCCCCTTCCGCTTTCTAGAGTTTCCAAAATGAGTTTAGAAGTTTTTCGTCTGTTTCTTTGACGTCGTTTCTTTTTCACCAATTTGACTATTTCTGCATACTCCACTTTTTCTGTTGTTGTCTTGGATTCTTTCATTCGTATTTCCTTTCTTCTTTGATCTAGTTCCTCTATTTCTTTGTCTTCTTCCGATCTTACTATCTTTCTTTTCTCAGTTGGGGCTACAGATTTGGCTTCTTCTAGCATTGCTGATGTCATCATATCGCATCGCTCATCAATGTCCATATCCTCTAACTCTAATCCATCAAAGCGGTTGTGAAGCTTTAGTTGGAATTCTTCTTTCTTTCCCTTCAGCTTCATGATGTTAATCCGTGTTTTCCTCTTATTTTGAATGAATCTAAGCCTAGCTAGTTTCTTGTTGATGCTTATATTGACTCTTACCATTCTATGATCACTTGCAATATCTACATTGGTGATGACTTCACAGTTTTTGATTATCCCTCGCTGGTTACTAAGTATGAAATCTATCTGGTTTTTAGTAACTCCATTTGGACTCTCCCAGGTCCAGTAACGACTCTTGTGTTTCTTAAAGTATGTATTGGTCACTTTAAGTTTATGTTCCATTGCAAATTCTATCATCCTTTCACCTCTCCTGTTTCTTTCTCCGTAGCTGAATGATCCCATGATATTTTCTTCCCCTTTTTCACGTTGTCCGATTTTCGCGTTGAAGTCACCCATAAGTACTGTGTAGGTACCCGAATTGTCTGTAATGGCCTTATTGATATCTTCATAGAATTCCTCCACTGTTATATCATCATAATCACTTGTGGGTGCATAAACTTGTATGATGCACATTTCATCCTTTCCCGTCAATTGTATTTTCATGGCTGCTACCCTGTTTGAATAGCTTTTAACTTCTTTCACATAGTCCTTAAATTTGTTATGGATTAAAAATCCAATTCCTTTTGCATTTTTGTCATCCTCTGTTTTTCCCCTGTTGTAGAGCCATGTGCCTCCTTTCAGATCTGTCAATCCTTCTCCTCGTCTCTTCGTTTCAGCAAGCCCGATGACGTCCCATTTGAATCCCTCTAGTTCATCCAACAAACTTTCTAAACTTTCCTCGGTTCTCAAGGTTCTAACATTGTATGTACAAATATTTAGTTCAGATTTTTGGCCAGTTTTATTGCATCCCTCCATCTTACAGCTTCCATTTGGCTTTGACTGCAAAACTTCATCAAAAGAATCCTCTTCGATGCGTTTACTGGTCAATTTGCAACTCTGAGTGTTGCGCCCGTTACGGCCATGGGCTTTACGGCCTCCTTTAAGTTGTCTTTCCATAATTGTCATGAGGGTTTTTTGCCATATACTGACGCGCTGGCAAGGCGTGTTGTCAGTAGGGGAAGCAACTGTTGAATGTAGTGAACATATCTGCAGTCCTCCCACCCATGCACGTCGCTGGCTGTACTCGTCTACGGCACTACGGTAGCAGTTTGTTAGATCTTCAACAAACCGGCCAGACACAATGTATCATTTGGGATTATATATAGATGTCGTGCTAATGTACCATGTAATATTATATATATACTGTATAAACATGTAATGTATATACAAACGTTTTAGAAACGATATATATAGGGACGGAACTTCTGTGGTATATGCGCGATATACCACTTTATACCGTACGTCGATAGGTGGTCGATGACTGTTTGATTTTATTGTCTCAACCTGAATCTCAGTACATGCTTATATATGTGTTACCCTATATATTTTGTGATTATGTATGTTGACTTTTATACAGGGCCCCTAGAATGAACGAAATTTGTATACTGATGGAGCCACCCTATTAAACATGATCAAATAATTAATCCTTTTTGTTTGCTCCACAGGCCCGCACGAATTCCAGTTTCTGAAGAGTCTTCAATCTCACTACTCATCCATATGCAATGTTGCAGTAGACCCTAATGAAGGCATGCTACAAACATTCAAGGGTAGAGTTGCTACATTGAATTTTGATGACAAATCGTCTTGTCATTGGTTCACTGGTCCGTTGTCACAATTCGTTGCTGAAAGCCCCTTGGCGGGAAACAAGTACAACCTCATCAGCTCTATTCATTCGCTCTACTACACGGGTGACTTTGAGACGACCTTCACCCAACTAGCATCCATGATGAAAGATAAGGGTCTCATGATCATCGTTTGTAAAAACGGTAGGTAGCGAATTGACATCATCATTTGCTCGATCAGCTCTGCAAGTTTCTCAAATAAAATATTATAAATGCCGTAATAAAACTCTTTGAATGAGTGTAAAATCAACTCGGAAATACTCTTTAACATACTATTCTTAGAAGAACGTAGTTAAAACAGACATAAATCGGGATGCAATTTTGTTTAACCTCATAACTTTGTAAACATTTGTTGTATCCTCTCAATTATTATGATGAAAAATAATCTTAATCCTAATAGTAGATTACATATAAACCCTTCCTATCTGTTTAGTTATTTGTACAATTATTTAATAAGAAATCTTGAACGGGAAGGCGGCTACTCCCGAGTGAACTGGGACAGTCATGGAGAAAAAGAGGACAAAACTTTCGAAAATCTTCAAATAAAAACTGTAACAGGTTATTGTCCCAAAACTGAACTAAGTGCTAGAGATATTAAGGATCATTTTAAAAGGAGACCTAGCAGAAAGATGCTTTTTATCACTGTTTATTTCAGTCTCGTTTTGTTCGTTGAATCGTTGTTGCTTACAGATAGCCTGAACACAAAAACATTCCACAAGTTAACATGGCTGACAGAAAGCACTCAGTCAAATGAACGACTTTCTTCAAAGAATGTTCGAGAGTTTGCACAAAGTCAAGGATATGATGTCACCACTGTCGACATACCTGTACATTGGGACATTACCGACGTGTTTGATGACCAGTCAGACTTTGGAAATAAACTCCTCGACTTCTTCACCCAGGCGGCGTACTTTCGGCAGACGGCACCGGCTGAGTTGGTCGATGATTTGATGAGCTTTTGGCGTTCTATTTCGACCGAAGATAAAAATGGACGTATCGTAGCACCAGCCCACGACGAAATACTTCTCATCTCAAAATAATTCCCTGTCATCGTCTTTCTGAGCCTTATGTTGTTTCAAATATCAAGTAGGGTCTAGCTTTATTCATGCGCTTGCTAGCTACAAACAGATCCAATAGCACTTCTGGATAAGGGCCAGGGCTGCATACAACTCATATTTTTTTTGCTAAATATATTACATATTGCGGATAAAGTATCGAAAATAATATCGCTAGTGACATTCGTTTGTCTCGCAATGTATGGTAAACAAGGGGATCAAAAGATCACGACGTTTCGTGCGCCGCTGCAACACTTCGTCAGGTGATGAAATATATTGTGAGCAAGCGTCTTTTATACTCTACGGGTGGACCGTCAGTCAAATAATTCGATCAATTGATCCTCACTGGCAACAAACTGTAAAACGAACTTAAAATTCAAAGATTATCCAGGACAATTTGTTTTTAAAGTAAACAGTTCCTTAAATTTTGTTCTTGTTACCAGTGAAGAAGTTATAAAATGCATTAAAGAAGCTCTTCACAATACGGCTACTCATGGTTTTGATACTATACCATCGAGTATTATGAAAGATTCGTCACTTATTATTGTAGAATCTATGAAGGCGTTGTGCCAAATGAATGGAAGTGTGTCGGAATAACATCCTTTATAAAGGAGGCGATGGCACAAACCCTTCGCATCAAAGACCTATATCTCATAATATTTGTGTTGTCAGTACTTTCCAACATTTTAGAAAAACTTGTTTTTCGGCCATCTTATTCGAGTGATAACAATATAATGGTACAAAATCATTTTGGTTTTTCAACCACGCTTTTCAACAGAGTTGAATTGATTGAATTCAACAGGAAATGTGAGTAAAGCGATAAATACTTGCCATGTTATTGGATTGGTAACGTTGGATCAGGGAGATGTGAGTTTTAATACTCACACCTCCCTAGTTGGATCTCGGAAAAGCGTTTTATCATAAGGTGCTTGTGATTTGACTTAATATTTTTTTCTTCATAATTTCTGATGTTTAGAATACTAAGTGTGATGTTTATTAAGAGTTATTTACATATTTTTATTCTTATTATTTCAATTTGTATAATGAGCTACCTTTTTGTTGTTAAATGTATCTTGTGTTAATATTTGTAATGGATTTGCTGAAAAACAGCCATATGGCTGATGGCATGTGTTCTAACCGTGGTTAAATAAATGAAACAAACACACAGATAAACCATGGAACTGTATCTATAAAGATTCATTTAAACACATTGTGTTTTTGTACTAAAATCTGTCAGCCCTCACCTCGTCCTTGAACTATCAGAAACTCAGAGTAACCTATTTATTGCTACAAAACCTTTTTTTTTTTTTTTAATATTTTCTTATTTTTTTAAATATATTTTCCTAATATACACTACTTTGATAAACTCAATTAACTCTCAAACTCACTTCTGAGCTTTTTTAAACTGACTTGACTTTCCTTTAAACAGATTACTGCCAATTTCCATAAACCAAAATAACTGTAAATATCTCTATCTTGCATCCATACACAAGCTTGATTATTCACATCTATCTGCAAAGTATAAATTCGTTCCAAAACCTCAATATTGGATTGTCACTCTCACTGTTTCGAATGACCTTCCACTGACTTTGACAGGCGCTTAAAGTACTTATTTCTCGTTCGTTCGTTCGTACAAAGAATACCAAGGAGCAAGGGTGTCGATTTGTATCCGTGGTTGGAGGGGGGGGGGGGGGTGATAGGTGCCAAAATATTTTCGGCAATGGATCAAAGCAATCAAGAGGTAGAAGCTTGTGGCAGGTTGCACCCCTCCCCTAGGGCGTAGTCAGGAGAGTTACGGAGCGCGCGTAGCGCGCTCCCTTGGGTGTTGGGTCCAGGGAGGGCCCTCACCCATTAACGTATTAGAGAAAGAAGACGATTCGTTGGACCGTTCTCGACTCTTAATCCTTGTTTGAATCAAGTTCCCCTTCCTCCGCCCGTAGCGCGGAAGCTCTGACGGTTCATTAGATTATTAAAGAAAGAAGGTGATTCGATGTACCATCAAATGTTTGAATCAAATTCCCCTTCCCCCGCGCGTAGCGCGGAAGCTCCGACGTTTCATTTGATTATTAAAGAAAGAAGACGATTCGATGTACCATTCTCGACTGTTAATCCTTGTCTGAATTCAATTTCCCCCCCTCCGCGCGAAAGCTTTGACGTTTCATTAAATGATTAGAGAAAGAAGACGATTCGTTGTACCGTGTCCTTGTCTTAGTCCAGTTTTTCCCCTCCCGCGGACGATTAGTTGTATCGTGTCCTTGTCTGATTTCAGTTTTTCCCCTCCCGCGCAAAGCGCGGAAGCTTTGACGTTTCATTTGTTTATTACTCTTACCCCAGGTCTGAAATCACTTTCGCCCATCCCGCGCGTAGCGCGGAAGCTTTCACGTTTCATTAAATTATTAGAAAAAGAAAATGATTCGTTGTATCGTGTTCTTTGACGTTTCATTTAATTATAACTTTTATTCATAGTCTGAATTCAGTTGCCCCCCTCCCGCGCGAAGCGCGGAAGCTTTGCCGTTTCACTAAATTATTAGAGAAAGAAGACGGTTCATTGTACTGTTCTCTATATTAATCCTTGTCTGATTTCAGTTTCCCCACATGATGTACGTATGGAACATTCGTTCGCAAATCTTTGCATGCACAGCCCGAGTGGTGGGTAGCATGTTATCTCCCGGTAGTGCTTGTCGCAATATCTTCTGGAAAGGAATTGTATACTACTGTTAGGGTTAACGGCCACTATTTAGGCCCATTAGTGACTATACAAAATATATGCTCTTCCTGGCTATTTGGTAATGTGTCAGTTTGCAACAGAAATGGAGAAACGCGAATTTGTTGAAAATCATGTGATATCACGAACATTTATAAATCACTTGTATGAAATATGCCAGTGACATAGGCCTACATCAGCTTTTCAATAAAACAAAAATAAGTTGTGACATCATAATATTTCTCCAAAAATGAATTTTTTAAAGGAAATATCAGGAAATAAAATGAGTGAAAAAAATAAAAATAAAGATACAATGACGTGAATTTTAAAAAGGGTGAACGGAAACAACATAACAACTAGTGAACTATCTTATAAGTCATACTAATTTCCGAAAATCTTTCTCCTTGTCTCCGATCTCATCACAAATTTGTCACAGAGTTCATTTATGTTTACATTGTCCAGGATTGTCTGATGTTGCAGATTGCTACTTTTGCGCTTCGCGCTTAACATTTAGCTTGTTGCTTTTTAACGCTGCGTCTTTGCATCTGGTACACTGCATTTCTATGATGCTGTTGATTGAACAAAGTGAATAAATTCATCAATTCCTGATGAAGCCGTATGAACGAGAATTCAATTTATTCTTGTCTCATATACGGTTGTCTCATTTACTTCGTATATATGTATGTATTATGAAAATGAGATAACAAAATGTGTATATTGACGGTCATCTTGCGAGTAATAACCATTAACTACTCTCATCGGGCTCTCATCATTAATTTATCTCTTTTTTTTTTTTTTTTTGAGGGTGAATTATTGGGGGGGGGGGGGGGATGATTGTACAGGCCATCCCCCCACCTGAAATATTGGGGGGGATATATCTCCCCCCCCCCGGGATCGACACCCATGCCAAGGAGTACATCATCTAAATAGGAAGGTCCTCATTTAGCCAACTGATTGTCTCATCATGGAGCTCTCGAAGTCCAGAAGCATCGCGAGGGGATTTGTAGATAGGACATGCATCGATGACGTGATCCATAGTTTGGATCTCTCCACAGGCACAGTTTGGCGATGGATCAGCTCCAATTTTATGCCGGAAATATTGTGTACGGCCAACTCCAGTTTTGATACAGTTGAGGTTGACCCAGGCTTTTCTTGAGAGGTCGCTGTCACTTGGTTTTGCACAGGGCTCTAGGATGAACTCCTTCAGGTTGGTATTAGATGAATACCACTGGTCTGACCAGCGTTGTGCTATCCAAGTGGGTAAGGTGGAGGGGGCTTCTCAAGCGGCAGCTCAGCAGCCTGTGTTGCAAAGTGTCTTCTATAGGGAAACGCTGTCCTTCAAAAGCAGAGGGGGCAGGAACAAGGCATTTATCTTTGTTATGATCTCGTCTGAGCTGAGGTGGTATGCCAGACAGTATAGGCAGGTTGCTGACAGGTGTTGCAGTGAGTTTTTCCTTTGAATAGTCTCTTGTGTATATGGGTGTGTTGGGACGAAGCTGACTTTTCTAAATTATGGGAGTGAAAGTATTTATATTTTTTTAAAAGGCCCACTGCACTACTTGTAGCTAGTTGCGCCCTCTATATAACAAACAATGCCTAATCGGTGACCATTGGTCCCCCATGATCCTCTTTTTCTTATGTTAACTGAGAGCTGAGTTGATGAGATAACCACCTGTCCAGTGACCTTGCAGGGCAGTCAAATCCCTCCTGCAAACTACGGCAGATAAGCTTTAAGCAATAACAAATTCAAACACACCAATCAATCTAACACGGCGACCCATCAGCCCAACCTTTTAACTTCGTGATCTCTCAAAATAAATAAGCACTTGGAAACAAAGTAATTACAGTACAGTGAGTTCAATTTATCATGAACTGGTTACACATTTGACTAAGTAAAGATGTCTGTAATTCAGGGGCGGCAATCCCGGGGGGATGGGGGAAGGGTGGAAAATTTGAAGAAGTGCACACAAAAAATATGTAGCAAATAATACTGACTAAAGACTGCAACACACTTTTAGGTTCTGGAGGGTCCAAGAGTGCGCGTTCAGACAAATACATATGCACAAATATTCTCCCTTGGTAGCTACGCTCCCTCGCATAATATCCCTCAAAAAGTACAAGTGAATATTGTAGAAAAATGAAGTGTGAAAAAAGTATATCGCTTATTTTTATATTATAGTTTTGCTAAGGAATGTATTTTTTTAATAAAACAAAACTTTAAAAACCTGAGACGGGGTAGGCACTTCCGTCACCTTCACCCCTTTCATTCACTATGCTCCCTCACACTAGCGTACTGATGGGGAGGGGATGGAGGGCAGTTGCCCCTCCCATGAAATTCGAACGTGGTTTATTTCTAATTCGATACCAGGGATTTACAAATGTTGCTGAAATGACATGATTTTTCCCTAAGCATCCAAGGGCTCTGCCTCCAGGACCCTAACAAGGGCCCTAAGGTGGCCCCTGGATGCTCATCTAATCGTAATTTAATGCCTAACAACCCCTGAGCTTCTGGGGGCTGTGGCCCTGGACCCCACGCCAATTTACGCTCCACTTGCTTCGCTCTACCTGATCGTAAATACTTTAGCCCCTCCTCCTCCCCCCCCCCCCCCACTTAAAAAAAAAACGTTCCGCGGAGCCAGCAAGTAACATGTTGTAAGAGTGGTGGTAACGCGGATTTGTTTTCGGTTGCTCGCTGTCAAACGTTTTTTTGCTATGCTCCCTCGTTTATCGCATATCGTCCCCCCCCCCCGGTCATGAAAAGAAATCGCCGCCCCTGCTGTAATTATAAACGAAGAAGAACATGGTCAACAAATTGACCCAGTACCAAAGTACCAAAGTATATATTCCTTACACTTATTAGTTCAAACAAACAAATATATTCCATTTTGCTAGAATACAAATAGAATAAAATTTGAATTTTAGAATGTATGAGATATAAATAGTAAGTTATCAAACTTCGATGTTTTTCAAAAATGCTGCGAAGACTTGTCGACGGAAGACACGTGGCGACGTTGATTTGGACTACCTTCGATGTTCTGCTAAGCTGAAATGTTCGGCGTCCTGAACTACCAGTATTGCTAGATTTAGAGATGAGTTATTAGCAAGTGATTGGAGAGAAGTATTACGTGATTGTGATGTTGATAGCTCATATGATAAATTCTTAAATACATTCTTTTTGCTGTATGATAAAAATTTACCTTTACGTAAATGTAATAGTAGAAATCGTAGAACAACCCATCGATTGCCATGGATTACTAATTCTATATTGAGGTCAATAAACAGGAAAAATAAGTTGTACTATAAGTATAAGATTAGTAAATCTCAGTCTTCTCATAGGAAATATACTATTTATCGGAATACTCTTACTTCAATCCTACGTGCTGCTAAGAAGCAGTATTACTGTGCTCAATTTCAGGCGACTCATAATGATATAAAAGGGACATGGAAAGTGATTAGGAATGTTTTTAAGCCA